CTCCCTGCTACGCCTCCTCCCGCGCGGCGCTGCCTCTGCGCTCGCTGCCGCTTCTTTTCGCCTGCCTGGCCCGCAGCCTTGGCTGCGGGAGAATGAAGAGGCCCTGGGACACACAAATAAACATACACAAATAACAGGATTCCCCATATGTTCCCCATATTTTCGTATATTTCCTGGGTTCTTGTCTTCCCCCCCACTTCCCATACTTTCCTATATTTTCGGGGGGATGGACGATTCATTGTGTCTCTGTGTCTTTTTTCTCCCCTGAGACGAAGGCGGCGTGGGCGCGGCCGCCGCCGCACGCGCCGGGTCGCAGACCCGCGTGGCCAGCAGCCCGCGCGCGTGCCGCTGCAACGCCACTGCGGCTGCCCCCCTGCTGGCCTGCGCGGCCGCCTCGGCCCCCCCGTCGGGCCTGCCCGCGCGCCCCGCTGTGCAGCGCAAGGGCCAGCTCCCAGCGCTTCGCGCGCCCCGCTGCGCGGCCTCGCCGCTGCCCGCCCGCCTCTCGCCGCCGCCGGGTGCGCCGCCCGCGCCCCGCGCGCACACGGGCGCGCCGGCACGCGAGCGCGCCTCCGCGGTGGAGCGGGCGTGCTCCGCTCTCCGCGCGGGCCTGCGCGCCCTGCCGGCCCCCAGGCGGCGCCCTGCTCGGCGGGGGCTGCGCGCGCGCGGCGCCCTGCTCGGCGGCGCCTGCGCGCCCCTCGGCGGCGCCCCGGGGCTCCCCGCGCGTCCTCCTGGGCGCCGACCTCGCCGGGTGATGTGCGATATAGGCTGGTGTCGTGACGAACGGGGCGCTGGCTTCCAACACCACGCGGATCGCTCAGCCTCAAAGCGATCGGCGGCGTTCGATCGCCAGGCCTTGCCGTGCTGGCCGGCTCTGCTCTGTGCCGCTGGCGGAGTTCAGCATTGGAGCGCCCGCAGCGGGGTTGCCGCTGCCGACACGACGCGAGCCTGCCGCACTGCACGATCAGCTGGCCTCGGCGTGGGCCCCCCACCGCACCAAAGGGGCCCGCGGCTGGCGGCGCGCCTTCTACCTGCACGTCCTGGAGCATCTGAGGGCGCCTGGCGTCGTCGTCATCGTCGTCGCCGTCCAGCCGCGCCGATGATGGGCGCCAGGACGGCCGCGATGACGGGCCAGCACGCGCGTCCGCAGCCCATGCACGGGCGCCCGCCGCCTGGCAGGCTGACGGCACCAGCCCGGGACGCACTCCTCGGCACTCGTCCCCATGGTGCGTCGGCGGCTGTCTCTGCTGCCCCTCCGCCGCTGGATGCAGGTCCGCCTCGTGCTCGAAGGCGCCCTGCACGGTGCGGGCAGCGTGCCTGGCTCGCGCCCGCACCGAGAATGCGCCTGAATCATGATGTGCCTCAGAGGGGCAACGCAAGGAGGTGGAGGGGGAAAACATGGCTTCCGGCAGGAGGAGAGGGAGGGGGTGCAGGACGCAGCGGAGCGGGAGGGGCAGAAGGCAGGAGGAGCGGAGAGTGAGGGGCAGGAGGGGGGGGGGGAGCGGCAGGAGAAGGGGCAGCAGCAGGATGGAAGCGGAGGGGCACAGCGGCGGCGATCCTCGCCGAAGCCGCGGGACAGCCCCTCCAAGAGGTCGTCCTGCGGACGGAACGGCGCCGCCAGCGGCGGCAGCCCCCGCAGGATCGCGGGCCTGCGGCTGCGGAAGAGCACCGCTCGTCGCCGTCGTCGTCGCCGCCGTCGTCGCCGTCGCCGTCGCCGTCGCCGTCGTCGCCCTCGTCGTCGCGGTCGCCATCGTCGTCGCCCTCGTCGTCGCCACTGTCGGCCGGCGCCCTCGTCGTCGCCGTCGCCGAGGCCGCCGCAGGTCGTCGTCGTCGTCGTTGTCGTCGTCGTCGTCGTCGTCGTCGAAGACGCCGCCGTCGTCATCGTCGCCGGCGCCGCCGCTGCTGCCGTCGTCGTCGTCGTCGTCGTCGTCGTCGTCGTCGTCGTCGTCGTCGTCGTCATCATCACCTTTACTATTATTGTTATTTTTATTACTATTATGATTATTATCATCACCATCACGACCATCACCATCACCATCACCATCATCACCGACACCATCATCACTATCACAATCTCACCATCACCATCATCATCATGATAATGATCATGATCATCATCATCACCATCACCATCATTACCCCTGTCACCATCACCATCACAATCGACACCACCACCATCACCATCACCGTCACCATCATCTCCATCACCATCCCTATCATCATCATCACCACCATCATCATCACCATCATCACCATCAACATCATCGTCATCAGCATCATCATCACCATCATCATCGCCATCACCATCTTCATCATCACCATTGTCTGCGTCGAGGTCCAATGTGGAAGTATAATCCTCTGGGGACCTCGAGAGAACTTCGGGGACCTCTGGAGACCGTCGATGGTCCTCGTCGTCGTCGTCGTCTTCGCCGTCGTCGTCGTCATCGTCGTCGTCACAGTCGTCGCCGTCGTCGCCGTCCTCGCTGTCGTCGTCGTCGTCGTCGTCGTCGTCGTCGCCCTCGTCGTCGTCTGTCGCGGTCGCCCTCGTCGTTGCGTCGCCGCTGTCTTTGCTATCATCATCGTCGTCGCCGTTGTCGTCGTCGTTCTTCCGCTTTGCCTCAACCTCCCTCTGGCCGCATCTCTCACTCATCCCCTCGCTCCTTCCCTCGCACTCTTCTCTCTTTCACGTCTCGGAACGCCAAGTCTTACCAAATGTCTGCCCTTTACCTTCCACGCAGAACTGGCTGGTGGTAGAGGAGGAAAAATGAGGAACATGAAAAGGAAAAGGTGGAGGCGGAGGAAGAAGATCAGGGTTCGAGACACTGGGAAGAACGCAACGACAAAACACTTCTTGGCGGCGAGCAGAAGGGGGTAGGGGGAGGGGGGAAGGCTTCTTAGAAGGAGGCTGCTTCTTAGAAGGCGCCGGCCTTACATCTACAGAGAAGGCCCGCACCTTCTAAGAAGCAGGGGTGTTTCTAAGAAGCCCTCCCCCCTCCCCCGTGCCCACCTCTGCGCGCCGCCAAACTTCTCAAACGACCATGAGCTGAGGGCCCTCGACTGGCAAGTGGCAACGGTGCGCGCGAGATAAGTTAGGCACATGAGGTGACACTGGCAGGAGTGAATCACAATATCCATCAACATCGAATCGGAAAGTCGGGTCGGATGGGAACGGCAAGGAGTCGAAACCCAATCGGATCGGCCGCGCAAGGATGCACAATAGCGCCATGCGAGCACCGGGCCGCCCTGATCACCGGAATGTCGGAGTCGAATTGGATCGGGCTGGCCGACATCGACATCGACATCGACATCGATCGAATCGACATGGACCATGGGCGGAGCACGACGACGACTCGGCCAGGTCGGCGTGTTCCCCTCTTCGGGCCTGCTGGGCACGACGAAGTCGCTGAGGAAGCGGTCTGCGCTGTACGGGCCGTCCGCCATGTCCAGCACGGGGCAGAACCTCAGCTGGAGTGACCGAGATTCGTGGCGGGAGGGACAAGGAGTTTGAGCTGACCGCACCAGCAGCTCAACATAGATAAACAGAAGAGCCCATGAACCCCAGGGCTCTAGGCGGAGGAGGACAGGGGCGGCGGTGGCAATGGGCGGTCAGATGACGATGACACTGGCCCCCGTTTTGCCACAGGCTTGCCAGCCGCCCGGCCGGTCCTCCGTGCTTGATGATGTGCTGGTGGGGCCCTGGGACACACAAACAAATACACACAGACAACAGGATCCCCCCATCTTTTTCCAATTTTATTTTTGCTTTTCCTCCTCCCCCCCCCTACCTCCCATACTTCTGCATATCTCCTTCCTGGGGAAAGCGACGATGCCTTGTGCCTGTGTGTTTTTTTTTGTTGCTCCGCCCTCCCCTGAGATGCTGTGCCGCTGGGGCCCGGCGCGCCGACCGCACCGCGCCAGGAGAGGACCCCCGTGCGTGACTCCCGCCTGCGCCCCGGTGCCGGCGCGGGGGCGGACCTCTCGAGGCGTGCAGGCTGCCGTCGAACGGCGAAGACACCTCCAGGGACGACTCGACGCGGGGGGGGGGAGAGAGGAGGAGGAGGGCCAGGCGGAGGAAGAGGAGGAGGGGGAGGAGGAGGAGGAGGAGGA